TTTAGGACAAAGTTTGCATAACATCCCACCTTCACTGGTCCTCAGTGATGCAATACAGGTTTAGTTTATTCCCATTGTTTATTTTTTCATCATTACATTTAGAGTATTTATTTTTTCATTTTTCAACTCTGATAAGGATTTTACCTCACAAATTTGTGAAAATTACTAACACCCCAGCCAGAAATTACTCAGTAGTAGTTTTTTTGTTGTTGTCGCTTAGGTTACATAAATCTACTTAGATAGCAGCTAAACAAAATAAGACAAAATAACTTTTCAACGTTAAAATGATATCCCCACACTGGACATAAACTGAATTAGAGCTTTCAGTTACTCATAATTTACTTATTATGTATTTATTTTTGCTTTATTTATCTTATATACAATTTTTTTTATTGTTTTTCTTTTCAGATTTGATGTACAAAAATGAAACACTGTAAGTTGCTTGTAACTGCAGTTGTTTTTCATGGTTATCCATTTCCCTTTACATCACTACCGTCATTAGCAGATCTAAATGTTGTGTTGAAAACAACTTAAATACTGATTCCCTACATGTCACCAAACACAGAGTCCCGTTTCACACGAATAGTCAGTGTGGACAAAAACAAGTAAAACTAGATATCTCTAAGTGTAAAACTAATGTGAAGGATACAGTTGATTACTGGTTAGCTGCCTGTAGTGAAGAAAACAGGACTGTGACTCCATTATCTTAACTTTTTATATTTTTACCAGTAAATTCATGTGGAGTTGAAACTCTACAAAATAGCAACATGAAATTAAAAAAGGCAAATTACTGCGGTTTTGGAAATGACCAGGACAGGAAGACGCAGCACAATGGGAACAACACATAAATACAATATAAAAATCTCCTGAAGAATATTGTTTTGGTTCATTTAAGAAACGTCTATAAAACCTGTGGCTGTGTTTCGTTTCACATCTGTCCCTTGCTCAGTTATACCTCACGGATCATGTTTGTGTTTCCATCGATGCTCAGTCGGATTCTGATCTGACAGAAATGAAAGCCAAGTCACCGCTCTGAAATATTGATTAAAATCTGTTCAGCACCAGTTGTCTTCTTCTGGCCCATTTCTGATGAGCAATTTTCCAAAAACCCACAAATCCAGTTGAGAGGTATCTGCTCCAGCAAATCTACTCTGAATTCTGAGAAGCTTTGAAGAACAAGATTATGTTTATGACTATTTTTTAACTAAAATGAAATCTGATTTTCAATCAGGCTAACAGCTAGAAAAAATAATAGACTGGGCAAACCCAATATGGCGTCCAATCACACTCGTAGACATTGCTGTACTGTTAAATAAGGATGAAATTGGATACCACAACAGAAAGACCTCAGAATGAGCTGAGACATCTGGGAGGTGACTCCTTTGCACCACTTGACTTTTAAAAGAGTCCAGTAAGCTTCACCCTCTGCAACATGACTTGCAGATTGCTTGCTTAGTGTAAATCATGACTAAACAACAGTGATCCTCCAGAAAACATCAAATCGCCTGAAGAAGAATGAAAATGGTGTGTGTGCCAGCAACTATCAGGGCTTTTGCATTCATGTTTTTGTAATTATCCGACCCTTCTACATTGTGCGAATGCTGAGCCAGCTTGGATTAAATATAATAATAATAAAAACTTCTGCGGCTGGGCAGAAGGAATTTCTTTGGCATGAATATTCCTGGCTGACATTGGGAGGTGGGCAAGCAGCTGAAGCGTGAGCAAAAAGGAATGCTGGGCAGAAATCCCAGCCATGCTGGTTGGAAGATTGGGCAGACAGATGACAGGACTGATGGCTTAACTAAGGTTTAGATTAAGTCTCTGACTCCCATATGCCCACGCACACGCTCAGATCGAGGTGAGGAAGAGGCACTGCAGCCTCATGAGGGTAATCTCAAGTTCACTATCCTCTCCAGCTGAACAAACATGTGGATTTTGCATTGTTGGGATAGACAACAAATGAAACTGGGGTTTCATGAGGTAACTATGGAACTAACATGATTTATTGTGAGGTAACTATGAAACTCACACCATTTATCATGAGGTAACTATGACACTAACACCATTTATCGTGATGTGACTGTGAAACTCACACGATTATTCATGAGGTAACTTTGAAACTCGTGATTATTTGTGAGGCAACTATCAAACTCATGCGATTATTCTTGGGGTAACTATGGAACTCATACTATTAATCATTAGGTAACTATAGAACTCTTACGATTAATCATGAGGTAACTATGAAACGCATGTGGTTGTTTGTGAGGCAACTATGGAACGCATACGATTAACTGTGAGGTAACTATAAAACTCACTATTAATAGTAAGGTAACTATGGAACTTATGATTATTCATGAGGTAACTATGGAACTAATACAATTAATCTTAATGTAACTATGGAACTCATGCGATAATTTGTGAGGTAACTATAAAACTATGGAACTCATATGAATATTTGTAAGGTAACTATGGAACTTATGATTATTCATGAGGTAACTATGGAATTCATATGATTAATTGTAAGGTAAATATGGAACTCACTATTAATCGCAAGGTAACTATGGAACTCATACGATTATTTGTAAGGTAACTTTGGAACTCATGCGATTATTTGTGAGGTAACTATAAAACTCACAATAGAACTCATATTAATATGTGATTAATCATAATGTAACTATGGAACTCGTGCAACAATTTGTGAGGTAGCTATAAAACTCACTATGGAACTCATACGAATAATCTTAAGGTAACAATGGAACTTATGATTATTAGTGAGGTAACTATGGAACTCATATGATCAATGGTAAGGTAACTATGGAACTCATACAATTATCATAAGGTAACTATGGAACTCATGTGATTAATCGTAAGGTAACTATGGAACTCGTGATTAATCATAAGGTAACTATGGAACTCATGCGATTAATCGTAAGGTAACTATGGAACTCGTGATTAATCGTAAGGTAACTATGGAACTCATATGATTAATTGTAAGGTAACTATGGAACTCATACAATTATCATAAGGTAACTATGGAACTCGTGATTAATCGTAAGGTTACTATTGAACTCATTGGATTAATTGTAAGGTAACTATGGAACTCGTGATTAATCGTAAGGTAACTATGGAACTCATGTGATTAATCGTAAGGTAACTATGGAACTCATACAATTATCATAAGGTAACTATGGAACTCATGCGATTAATCGTAAGGTAACTATGTAACTCATGCGATTAATCGTAAGGTAACTATGGAACTCGTGATTAATCGTAAGGTAACTATGGAACTCATGCGATTAATCGTAAGGTAACTATGGAACTCATACAATTATCATAAGGTAACTATGGAACTCGTGATTAATCGTAAGGTAACTATGGAACTCATGCGATTAATCGTAAGGTAACTATGGAACTCATACGATTAATCGTAAGGTAACTATGGAACTCATACAATTATCATAAGGTAACTATGGAACTCGTGATTAATCGTAAGGTAACTATGGAACTCATGCAATTAATCGTAAGGTAACTATGGAACTCATACAATTATCATAAGGTAACTATGGAACTCGTGATTAATCATAAGGTAACTATGGAACTCGTGATTAATCGTAAGGTAACTATGAAACTCATGCGATTAATCGTAAGGTAACTATGGAACTCATACAATTATCATAAGGTAACTATGGAACTCGTGATTAATCGTAAGGTAACTATGAAACTCATGCGATTAATCGTAAGGTAACTATGAAACTCATGCGATTAATCGTAAGGTAACTATGGAACTCATGCGATTAATCGTAAGGTAACTATAGAACTCGTGATTAATCGTGAGGTAGCTTTGGAACTTTAATAATGATTACAAATTTTTATTGACAACCCTGTATAAAGCCAAGGATAAATATCACCAGCAGCATTCCAGGTGCATACAGGGATCAAGTCCACACATTTTAAAAATAATAACAGTGTCACAAAAGACTGAAAACATTGTAATAATCTTATAAAGTAATACTTAGAAGTTTGACGCTAGAGCTGTAATATGATTTTGGCTGCATTTAGACTAAGACAATTTCTCCAGACAGAAGCCATTTGGAAAGCCAGCTCCAACAATTATAATAAAGTTATAACTTTTACACAAAAATACACTTTTAAATAACAGAAAACTGAAGTGTACTGCTCCTTCCTTTTTGGTAAAGAACAATAGTATGATTTAGCAAGAGGTTAAAAAAATATAAGAAAATACTTGAGCTGCACAGTGCTGTGCTGATGGGTGTATGTGGTAGTTTTGCATGCATGTGACACAACTGAAAAAGCCCCTATAGGAATTTGGACTTGGACAATGGGTGACATTTGCCAAAGATGACAATCCCATCTGTGTGTGAGTTCAGGACTGCGTTGTTTACATTTCCGGCTCATTACTCAGCGGTATATCCGGTCAATCATTTCAGATCACACGCATTCTCTTCAGTACAGTTGCAGAAGTTACGAATGAATGAGAACAATATATGATGCTATTTTATCATTTGGTTTCACAGGAGTTTTGGCTCCATCCTGTATATCTTATCAGCAGGTTAAACAGGTGCATCTTGAATATAAAACTACAAACTCAACTTCAAAAGAAGAGAAGGACAGATGACCTCACACAACCAGTGAGATGATCACATATCCACACTGGTGCAACAAAACTCACAGAGCACCACACAAAAGATTCAGCAGCTTTAAGTCTACATTACAGACATTTGATTAATGGTTTTAAATCTCTAAACAAGTTGGTGTCTGTCTACGGGCATCCCTGTAAAATCAGCTGACAGAATCTGTGAACCCCTCCAAAGAAAGTCGTGCTCTCACCGTGCGTAAACGTGGTCACGGCAGTGGTGCGGGTTTTGTGACGACAGCAGCCTCACACAAGTCTGAGAAAACTTAACTACCAGCTTTGACAGCTTCTCACTCTCTCATACGTCTTATTAAAAAGAAAAAAAGCGAAGAAAGACAACACTTACCGGTTTGGTGAACAGGTGTAGATGAAATTAGAGAGAGACGAGCATCATCTGCTACAAAGCGGAGGTGGCAGGTGCAATTAAAACGCCTAGAGAGGATAAAAACCACAAAGCCGGTAAGAGAGGATCCCCCCTCCTCCACACTCTCCCACTCTGCTCTGTGTGTGTACATAAACACAGAGCTGGCTCAGAGTCAGTGAGCTCACAGTGCGTCACTGCTGCAAGCTGAAACCCCCATCCGTGTGTGTGTGTGTGCGTTGGACGATTGAGATCTTTCCCAGGCAGGTGGCTGCAGGACCCTGCTTAAAAAAAAACACAAAAAAAATAACTAAACAAATCTAATCTGGTGCAAGAACAAAAACGAGCAGAAATAAAATAGATTAACACTAACATTTCTCATTTGTGAGATAGTAAAGGTTTAGACAGCTTTTACCTGTCTAAGGCATATAGATGAAGGCACGAAATGTAGGGGTGGGCAGTTCCACAACTGGGGTCGCGACCCCACTGTGGGTCATGAAGCACCAGGTTAGGGGGTCTTGAGTTGATCCCCAGAAACCAAAAAAAATTGGAAATTCAATACTAATACCTCGTATTTACACCCGTTATTTTTCCAGGTGAGAAGCTGAAACGTTAGGGAACCTCTGCTTTAAAATTCTCTTTCAACTTTGCTCTTTGGCTCCACAGAATCTTTAAAAAAAAATCTGTAGACATTTGGCAAAAAATGTGAAAAGAATCAGGGTTCAGAGTCTCGTATTTAATAAACACCATCCCTAACAGGCGGACTTGCTCTCACTCACTGTTCTACTGTGAGTGAGAGCAAGTCCGCTTGGTTCATCCACTCACAAACCTCATTCAATCATTCCGCTGAGACACATGAATCTTTGTTTCTACTTCTCTCCCAGTCATCACACACACACACAGATCTTCGTTGTGTGGACGTGTGAGTCTCCATGGGAGTTGAGCTAATATTGAATGCCCTTTGTTCACTTACACACTACAGGGCAGACATGTCACAATAAACATCACTGTAGGTCAGCGGGTTCTGGTAAAATGTTTTGCGGAGTCATGTTTAAAACAAAAGCTTCTATTGCTATTTAATCTGTATCCTAAAATGCAAGATTTGTAAACTTCACAGACTCCGTATTTAATTAGAATGAGGACACATGGATCACAGCAACATCAGAATATGTTTACCAGAGCCATCGAGTCTTAAATGTTAGGTCGCTGTTATGTCAGGTGAATGAAAACACATTACACACAGCATGGTCGAGTTAACGTGCAGTCTGTGTGTGAATAACAAAAACAATGTTAATCCTAGCTGTTGCTGGAGGATTTCAGAGGGAAGGTGTTGGTGCTGCTGATAAAATGCATTCATTTATCAGCACAGGTGAAGTTTGCTGGTTTTCAGGAGACTGATGCAACATCGTAACAAATATTCTGGGCGGTGCTGCAATCATTCTGCAGCGAATGCTTCCAACCATCGAGTTAAAGGTAGACCATAAAGAAAAGAGGGAAGAAACTGACAGGTTGTCCTATAAACCAATAAAAGATGGAGTTTACTTTGTTCAGTAAAAAATGGGCTATTATAAAATGTCCAGTCCTTTCATCTCAAGATTTTTTTTTTACATAATTTTATGACTTTTTGAGGAATTAACATTATCTGTGTCTAGTGGCTTAGAAAAATGCATCTTTATTTTCTCTTTCCCTGAAAGAAAAGAAAAAAATAGAAAAATGCATCAATTGTTTTATGGTTTTCTCTTAAAATAAGTTTCTAAGTACTAAAAAAAGGATCAGAGAACATCCACAAACTGGCACCAGTAAACTGATTTAATTACAAACAGGGACCCACAGTGACAAGAACAGCAACGTACAGAAGGTAACTCTGACTGACCGTTGTCATGACTACTACAAGATGTCAATCAGATCCAGAGACAGAGAGGTGGCAGCACAAAAATAATGTTTTTTCACTCTCTCTTTTTTTTCTTTTGTGTTCTTAAGGATGTTCGCAACGAAGCCAACAGCACATTCTGGAGCTGAAAGTTACAGCGCTAATACCAAAACTCTGCAATTCACCTCCTCCTGTCACCTTTTCGACCCTTAGAATGTGAATACGACAGCGCATGCAAAGAAAGAGAGGAAGAGGAGGAAAAACAAAATAAAAAACTTACACAAATATATAAAAATATGCCTTACGATTCATATGAACAATTGAGGACGTTGGGTGCAGTATTTACAGAAAAGAGGCAGCATGTACCAATATTTACAACGATAGGTTCACATGTGGTGACGGTGACAGGGGAATGATACAAACCCATAGAGGATATTTCACTTATTTAGCATCTAGCGTGTGAGTCAGTAAAGCTTCTTTTAATTTGCTTTTTCTGCAGGGAATGTGTTTATTTTTGCCTGAAAACATAATGATCTATTGAACCATGATGCATTTTAAACCAAAACCGTAGTGTCAAACAACATAAAAGCACGTTTAACATTCAGTGGATCATGTTTGAGGGACTGCTCTGCTGTCAAACACTCAGGTTCTCAGACTTTTAACGGTATAAACCTGCCAGCTGAGGCAACGTTTGTTTATACAGGCGCCATTCTGCAGGATGTTCGACAGCCAGCATTAAATGTATAGCACTTTTAATGTTACCATGGCGACACGTGAAACAGAAAATACAGATTTCAGATGCTAATGAAATAAAACTAGTGATTCAAAAACTAATTTGGTCTGCTTTAACGTCACATGACACAGACTTGGAAAACAGCAAACAGATGTTATTTACAGAGTGGAGTTTAGCGTAAACGAAATGAACCAGTTTCTCATCATACTTTAACACTTACGACACAAACATGGACATTTCATGATTTTTTTTTATATAAACCAAAAAAAGTCATATTTTTATGCCACTTTGTGCAGAAATGTTTAGACTTTCCTCTCTTTCTTGAAAATAAAATGTGGCTTCCTATGTAAAAAAAAAGCACTTAAAGTGGAGACTCTGGCCTTCCAATTTCTAGGTGCCAACTAGCTAGCATCTGTCACAGTTGATCCTCTGAACGGTGTCACAGGGACAAAGAGCCATATGTGGGTACTTTGGGAAGTGGGGAAAGCTGAGGTGAGAAGCCCAGATGGCTGGTAAAGTGCAATGAGGTTTTCTAGGCTTCCAGGGATCAAACACAATCACTGCTTAACCCCAAAGCCTGAGGCTAACTCTTATTTGTGTATAAAATGGCTTAAGCTTTGGCCTTCTGAAGGCACGTGCAGTTACGAAGCATTTGTCCTCATCACTAACTCTGCATCTTGTGTGTTTCCCCTTGAATAAACACACGCATCTTGACCGTAAACAATCAAAACAATTTATTTTTTTTTGACTCTTAGGGTTTGTGCATCAAGGATGCCACAGCATACAGAGTAGCGTTGTTAAATATGGAGCAAATCCAAACATTTGGCACAAAAACGGGCAATGGAGCTTCGCATGAGGACAAAATCCTGTCTGTGTAGGTTTAAAGGACTCAGATCTCCACAAGAACTCCTTGTGTGCATGAGTGTGTCTGCCTGAGATAAACTATAAGCGTTTATCTACTCTCATCACCAAGCCATGGCCTAATATTTTCAAATGAAAAAGTGAAAAAAAAGCTACATCTTCTATAAATTAAGTGCTATCTTAAAAAGGCGCTAAAATCCAAAGCATAAATACTGTACATAACTGTCTTTATCTGTTACCACAGCCTAGCGTCATCCCTAGAGAGTCTCCTTCTGACACATACAAGGCTTTGGCGAGATCGCTTTAAGGAGGAATGTCTCCAAAGCACTTTGTCCAACCAGTAGTGAGACACAGCTTCATCTGCATTTCTGTCATCTCTCTTGCAGCAAAAATAATAATAAAATAGAAAATATGATGTTATTATCTGACTTTGTGAGTAAGGCCATGCATTTTGTGTGTGCATTCATAATGTTGCTGTCACATATTGCACTAAAATGATGCTCCAGCTTGCACTCCCTCTGCTGGAATAAAGAGAAGTTGCGCAGCTAGGATCGGCAATAGAGTCTGAAGGATTTGATCTTCGGTCTAGCAGACCAGATCTGACCCATCGGGCTTAAGGCAAAGCATCATGTTATTTAATCTCACAAAAACCCTCTCAGCCACTCTGTTAGCAATGAAAACTCCAACTTTATCCTTAAGAATTCCAAACTACAGCCTATTTTCACATTTCATTTGCAGATGTACCTCATCGGGAGGTTCTTTTTTTGTCTTAAGATGATGACGAAGCCTTAAAGTTCACAACACATGCCTCAGATGTCCTCTCTCCTGGTCCTGTAAAGACCCAGGTCCACTTCTGTGTGTTCCGTTTCAGTCTGAACACATCTGGGACATTTGTCTTTCTCAATTAAACTTGAGCTCGAAGACACGTCCTCGTGAATGAAAAATGTAGGTTATGATAACACACACCCAGAAACACGAGCTGTTTAGGTTTTATGTCACATTCGTTCAGAAGTCCAGGAGGGAGCGCACGGCTGCACACAGAGACTGGCGGACCGAGCAGAAAACGAAAACACCCAAAAAAGAAAAGCCATCGGTTTGTCTCAAACCCGCCAAAGTAAAAGATGGTTGGTACTGTCGTCCCGTCCAACGGTTTCACTGCTGCTGGTCAGCCTGAAGTCCTCGTAGCCGTCTCCACCAGAAATAACCAGGTGGTTGGTTTTCACAGGGATGAGGGTGGAGGCCCGGCGATGTGTGGAGTCCCGCCGTTGCAGCAGATTCCCATCATCCGTGCTGCCGCTCTGAGTCTGACAACCTGGAACCAAGAAAGGCAGCGTCACAAGTTGGTTATACAAAGGAAACCTCTAAAGGTCAGGCGTGTTCTGGTCGTGACAACCACATTTACTACAACGTTTGATCACACCTGTGGAGTCTGCCATTGTAGGAGGGAAGTTCGTGTCAAACCCTTCTGGTAGCTCAATGGAGGTCAGGAATCGAACGTGGCCTGTGTGGCCATGAGCCGATCCCATCGGCACCAGAGGAGATTTCAGGGTGCCAGCGCTGGTTCCTGAGCTCACCGCTGGGATCGCCAGAGTCAGGACCACTCCTGCAGAACAGCATCAAGTGTGAGGCTGGGTGGGAAAAGGGTGTCAAAGTGGTTTAATGTCTGGTATAATTGTGGTTTCACCTGCACTGGTTCCGATCCACAGCAGGTCCTTGCAGGCCAGTAAGGCGGTGATTCGGAGGCAGGCAGCTTTATGCTGTCTTATGATTGCATCTGCACCTGAACATGGAGACAAGGTAAGGGTCAAAATGAGCACCTGATAGATTATCTGTATGACACCCGTCTGCGTTCACTCCTTGCCTGTTTGTGTTTACCTGCCAGCATTTTGTGCACTGCAGGCGCCACATCCACCTCGGTCAGGCTCTCCCAGGTCTGAGCATGGTACAGTCTGACCTGTGCACTGCCCTGCAACGCCAGCCACACCCCCTGACCGTACGCCACCATGCACGTCACACAGCGACTGCTGTCGGTGCCCACCTGGAACCAGTGCTGAGGGGAGAGACAGATTACCTGCTGTCTTTGTTGCTCTAATTTAGCTGCACAGTCCCCACATGGGCCTCACCTCTTGTGCCAGCGTGCTGGTGTTGATGACGAGGACGCGGTTTAGCGTACCGCACCACAGTTTTCCTCCTACAGGAACCATTTTGGTGACGGGGCTGCTGGATGTACCAAGTACTAATGTCTGAGAACACTGCGGGTCCCAGAAACTACCTGAAATATGTACATTTAAAGTACAACATGCATCATGAATTCAAATCTTGGAAATCAGTGAGAAGGATATAAAACCCCACCAATCAGACCACAGCTGAGCGTACCTGCATCTCTCTGATAGACAATCACTTCTCCATTCGCTAAGGACACAAATACTTTATTATCCAAATACCTGATATGAGAGGAAACCAAAAGAAATGATGAGGGGTAATAAAATTTGCACTTTACTTCTAGTAAACGTAGTATCAGTAGACTTACAATATACAGAGGATGGAGGTGGAATGCTGCATCTTCATGCTGTTCTTCCGGTTGCGGATGTTGTCTGACGACTGGTACACATGGACGCTGACAGGAACACGTGTAAGTTAATCAAGGGTCGAACAGTTAGAAAGGAGGGATAAAAGACGAAGAATCTGGTGCTTTTTACCATCCGTCCTCCGTTCCCAGCCACACGGAGCTCTGATAGGCCTCTGGGTCGATGCTGAGCAGATCATCCAGACTCGCCCGGGTGAACGAGCCTCGCGAGGAGCGGCGCATGGCGCGGCCGTCCATGGGGCTCTCGGTCTGAACACGGCTCCCCCCGCCCACTCCTAACATCCCAGGAGCAGCGTAGGAGCTCGCCACGGGGAACTCCTGCTCCTCCTCGCTGCTGGTGGTCTCAGTAGCCATGTCTTTAGAGCTCGGACCCTCGTCGTCTTTAGAGAATGACGAGCAAATGTTTAAAGGGCTGGTGACGCTGAATGAAACTTGCTGAAGCTGTGAAGCTTTCACTCACTGCCGTAGCTGGATGAAATGGTGGAGTGACTGGCCTGACTCTGCAGGGTGGATGAGGGACTTGGGGAATCTTCATCGTCTGTGTCATCGCTCTCAAACGGCACAAGCTCTGCCCCCGGACCTTTAAACAGTCAGTTCATAGGAAAACAACAACCAAGATTTAAAACAAGTCTTAATAAAGTGGTTTTCTGTGAGGATGTAGTGCACCTGTGGGTTGCTCCGTCAGCTCCGGATTGGACGGCGAGATGGATATGTGGAGCTGCTGCTGGGCGTGAGCCGGAGCTCTGGAGTTTGGGACCGGCTCGGATCCACGATCCCTGAGCACACGTGGCATTTAAATCATTTTACTGGATACATAAAAATGATTTAGATTAATTGATATGACAGGAGGTCAGGTGTGTGTGTGTGTGTGTGTGTTTGAGAGTGTGTGTGCACGGACGTACCTTCCCTTGAGTCCAGGAACTGCAGCGATACAGATGATCCTCGCTGAGCAGACGGCTATGCAGGCCTCCACTGTGGGCTCATCTTTGATATTCAACAAGCAAACCTGCAGAGGAAGCATCACAGGGCTCAAATCGGCTGCACAAAGCTAAATGTCTCCCTGCACGCCGTCTTCTCACCTGCCCCACGTATCCGTCGCTGTTACACACCCACACCTCACAGCTGCTGTCAGGACAGCTGTGGCTGGGAGAGGCACACGAGAACTGGGGACCAACCAAAACACAGAGGAGGCTTTATTAGAATTGTTCGAAAACAGAAACTAGGTGTGTTTTGATGCTTCCTGTTACTCTCACCTGCATTCCACTGCGAGTCTTCATTATAGGAATGGCCTTAAGGAATTCTGGGTCCCACTGGTCCTTATTCATCGCTAAAAACACAACAGACACAAATAGTCAGAAATGTTTGGAGCATGAGAGTAGATTTAGGCTCACACAGTTTTTATCAGTTATATTACTGCATCAAACTCAAACTACAAGAGATTTGTGTCTTCTTCTATTGTCTCAGTTAAAAAAAAGGCAATATTTTAGAAACATTATAAATTTCCTCACTAACCGAGCCTCTTTTTGGCCTCTTCGAAGGCCTGTTCAAAGCTTGACCGAGCGTCTGGGGAGCTGAACTCAAAGACGAAGCTGCTCTCAGCGGAGGCCGTGGTAAACTCCAGCTTCGTGGGCAGGAAGGTCACACTGAAAGCCAGAGATTGCTTCTCTGAAAGCTCCTTGTGCACTGATGCCATCAGATCCTTTATGACTTCATCTAGAGACTAAAACAAGCAAGAGCAACTTATTAGAAACACAGATACAGTTTTAAACACGTTCTTGTGGGTTTACAAAACCTGATGAGGGAAGCCGAGGGTCTCTGAGAGCTTGCTGATCTGACCCAACGTGCTGAGATCCTCGTCTAGTCGACTGATCATCTTCTGGATGCTTTCTTTATTCGTTGTCTGACTGGAGCCTTTGCAAACAAATAGAAAAATAGTCAGAGACCCTATCAAAAGATCCAGGCTTGAATATTTAAATTGCCTCATGCGGCAGTAGTCTTACTTTTTACCACCTCTACATCCTCTAGAGGAAGTTTCCACAAAAACTTGTATTTACTAGAAGTATCAATCACACTGGCAGCAGAGTATCTGGGAAATAAAGAGTCAGGTTTTAAACAGGAGCAGAAACAGTGTTAATGTGGTGTGTGTGTGTGTGTGTGTGTGTGTGTGTGTGTGTGTGCGTGTGTGCGTGTGTTATGTACAGGCTCATGGAGCTGCGTCTTAACGAGCCGGACTTCCTCTTGAGAGTGGTGCAGATGATCAGATCACTGAAGAGGAAGAGCGAGCGATCTTTCTTCCCACCCACCGTCTTCTAGAGAGAGAGAGAGACAAACAGAGAGAAAGAGAGACAGGCACAGACAGAGAGAGAGAGAGAGAGACAGACAGAAAGAGAGAGAGAGACAAAGAGAGAAAGACAGACAGACAGAGAGAGAGAGAGACAGAGAGAAAGAGAGAGAGTGTGTGACAAAGAGACAGGGAGAAAAAGAGAGAGAAAGAAAGACAGAGAGAGAGAGACAGACAGAGACAGAGAGAAAAAGAGAGAAAGACAACAGAAAGAGAGAGACAGACAAAGCGAGAGAGAGAGAGAGACAGGCACAGACAGAGAGAGAGAGAGACAAAGAGAGAAAGACAGACAGACAGAGAGAGAGAGAGAGAGACAGAGAGAAAGAGAGAGAGTGTGTGACAAAGAGACAGGGAGAAAAAGAGAGAGAAAGAAAGACAGAGAGAGAGAGAGAGACAGAGAGAAAAAGAGAGAAAGACAACAGAGAGACAGACAAAGCGAGAGAGAGAGAGAGAGAGAGAGAGAGACAGGCACAGACAGAGAGAGAGAGAGACAAAGAGAGAAAGACAGACAGAGAGAGAGAGAGAGAGAGAGAGAGAGAGAAAGAGAGAGTGTGTGTGACAAAGAGACAGGGAGAAAAAGAGAGAGAAAGAAAGAGAGAGAGAGAGAGAGAGAGAGAGAGAGAGAAGCTCAGAAAATATGTAATCTGATTCCCAGCTTTAGTTTTGTAGGAACACGTTCATCACTTTAGATGAAAGTGCTAAATGGTGTTTCCATAAGAAATCATAATATTTAATATTATTTTTGATTTTTGGAACTCTTACCGCCTCCATGACTATTTCCTGTCTCAAGAACTTCCTCTGTGGATTCAGAATCTGACAAAAATAAGCACAAATATTACTTCATAATTCTGATCATTTCAGATTTGTTTAAAACGATCACACCATATAGATCAGTAATAACACGTTAATAAGAGCATTAACTGCATGTATGACTTTGAGTAGCTCACATGTTCCACTCCTTCTATGTGTGCCTCAATCTCCTGGATGACCCTGGCCTCCCTCTCGGCCTCCTCAGCAGAGCGACGCCCCTTGTTGATCTTCTCTGCCAGCCTCTTGATGTCCCTCTGGGCATCCAGAAGGAACGAGTGGTCCGGGTGATCCTCTGGAGTGTGTTTCAACAGGTCCTGAGACAATTACCACAGCTTCATAAATCTAGATCCTGTTAGCTGTCCTAACTTCTGGTTTGTATCACAGAGACACGGCAGATGTGTGTGAGATGAGTCACCTTAACCAGCAGCTCGTATCGAGGAATCCTCTGAACCGGCTTGATCATCAGATCACCCAAAGCCTGTTTCTCCTTGTTCTCACGCATGTTTTGCTGTGGAATGATGGAAGAGTCCAGGTTTTGAGGAAGACATGGCTGAACTTCACAGTTCCACCACTAGATGGCAGTGTTGCTCCTTCATTAAAGCTCATTCCAGAGCTACATGGCATATTTATTCTAATAGGATTTCAGTACTTACTTTCCTGTTTTAAACCACAGACAGGGTCCAGCTGCTCAGATAAAGGGCAGACTCAGGTTTAGCCTCAAATTTACCTCCAGAAACTTGTGAAACGCAGGCTTGGCCTCCTTGGCGATCCTCACAGCATCTTTGGCGTTGAGAAAGTTGTCGATGTACGCTGAATACATGTTAGCCAGAGCCTCTTTGGAGAACTAGAGGAGGAGAAGACGTTTAATATGAATCGTAGTCACATGTTCATGAGCCGCACGCTACATGTGAAGGCATAACTGGTTAAACACACAAACATTGCCATCACCGTAAGAGATAAAAGCCAAAAAGCTACAAACCCATAATCAGAACAAAGACAAATGCGGTGCAATAATATACAGATAAATTGACCAAACGTAAAAAAAATAAAACAAATGTTTTTTTTTATAGGGGACAAATTATGCAAAACTATCTAATTACTATTTACTAATCTATTTTCTGTCATTGTTTTGTTTTAGGAATTATGTGCCACAAACAGCCCATTTCAAAAAGTCGCCATTTATGATGTCACAAATGGGGCAAATAACAAAAGAACCACCTCTCACTCGCGAGAGAGATCTGCCGCTGGAGGAGCAGCGGCTCTACTCCGAGTCCCTCCTGGATATCAGAGCTTCTAATCTTATAGCAGCTTGAGTGGGGGACAGGTGAGCGTGGCCGGCTCCAGCTTGTTTTCATAAAGGGACGGACCCTTGAAACAGCTCATTCTACAAGATACTGAAACTGTCAAGAATAAGCTGCTGAAATCACTTTGCGTTAGCGTGATTTAGGGCAAAGAATGGGATCATACCTGTGAAAATGTCAAGAGGGTGTCAAGACACATTAAAATTAGACTGATTCAATTTAAAATACTCAATCACTTTTATTGGACCCCAAGCCGGCTATTTAAATTGAAGATGAGGGACAATGCGGAATCCTGGAAGTGCTGTAACACCGAAGGTATGCTTATTCACCTATTCTGGGAATGTCCCATAATTCAGAACTACTGGTTAAAAATCCACAATCGTACTGTAAACATTAATGTGGAATTCTTTCCGAGATTATATGTTTTGAATGATCCACACATAAGGGCAAAAGATGTAGCGGCGGACTTCATTCAGACCAGTGTAATGACTGGAAAGCAAATCATAATGAGAAATTGGTGGAACCCAGGTGAACCATGTATTGGAATGGAGTATGGAATTGGCAAAAGTGGCGTCATACGAAAGAATTTTTTTCAATATAAATGACAGGTCTGACAAATATATGTTGAAATGGGGAAAATATATGCAATATATCGCTTCCAGATGAGAAAGTGATGAGAGGTATGAAATACAATGGAGCCATATGTGCTTTTTTTTTCTATTTTTTTGCTTTGTTTTGTTTTGTTATGGTGTCGTTGTTTATGGATAGACAATACTCTGTATGGCTGGAATACTGTGTTATTATCTATGACGGATAGTTGTTTAGAAGCCAATGTTTGTCACATTTGTGATAAAAATTCAATAAAATACTAGTGATAAAAAAAATCCTTTTATGTGGTTTTGTGAAATAAATAAAACTTAAACCTCTCAGATATAATAAATGTCACCAGAAACAGACAGAGGTGTACCTCTGCAATGTTGTTTTTAACTGACATGCTGCTCCCTAGATACGTTCGAAAGTACCCTTTAATCAAATCCAAACAATTAGTGTGATTTAAATGTCTTTCCCGGAAAACTGCGAAAGTGTGGGAAATTTTGAGGTTGGTACTAAAACTCTGTAGTTGGATATAAACGCTGCAATGTAAATACGCTAAATTCAAAGGCCCTGTGGAAGAGCATTCATGATGAAACAAATGTAAGACTAAGAAAAACTTGCAGAGATGACCACAACCAGGAAGTGCTCTGAACAAAAACTCTGCCCCGTGTGAGGCTCGAACTCACGACCTTCAGATTATGAGACTGACGCGCTGCCTACTGCGCCAACGAGGCCTGAAGCACACTGCAGCTGCTGCTGTTTAAATAGTCGGGGGAAGGGAAGCTCTGAAAGAGCGAGGTGACGTAACGCACTCAGCTGAGCTCAGCCGTGCTCACAAACCCTCTATTATCAATCTATGAACTCCTTCTGGTGTTCAGGACTCATGAAACATCTGTCAGCAAATCAAATCATAGCACCTGTAAGAATACATGTATCTATCTTTTATGACTGAGTTCACTGGTAAGACTTTCTGTCTGCATGTTGGTTCAGTGCTTGAGAAAATCCGTTTGCCTTCAGCTCTCAAAGACCCAACCTGACATTTAGAGCATTTCCTTGGAGCAACGTTTGTTTAACATCTAGGTTGAGAGCCACTCTCGGGTCATGGGAATTAAAAAACATGGAGCCAGGCGGTCGCAGAAAAAAACTACATATTAATGTTGTTTTGCCAAATGTGGTCAGTAGTCCTGTAGACGTCTTCTCCACAGTGTGCACCAAATGTTTGTGCTGGATTTACATTTGCAAAGAATCTCATGAGGACACAAAGCTAATTTTCAGATGCTTTAAAGAGACACAATGCAACATTTTCATGTTTTAAATTTATTTTCTTGAACCAATATGTGCTAAAAGGACCCTTTGCAAGATGAATGGAAGACCACCCAACACCTCGCCCCCTGTGGCTAGAATAGTCCACTTTCAACTTTGGAGTTGCTGGTCCAGTCTGTTGGACTTAAGAAAAAATTGAGCTGACATACCTGGAGCTGCAGTCTGACACCAGCACATTTCCTGCATGTTTTAGATCATGAACACAGCTGACTTATTTGATCTAGTGATGAATCGGTCCTGTAGACACTAAGGAAAGCTGGGGAGACATTTGAGCTGTTAGATTAACGTGTTAAAAACACAAACGCATAGCAAGGAGAGAAGTTTTGCTTTCGGTTCTACTAAACAGACACTGGGGGGTGCTAAAAGCAAGCCAAAACTGCCTAGTCTCCATTTAGCTGTGATGACGATTTAAAGGCCTAGAAAAGGGACCTAGTTCTGGTTTTTAAATCATTAATGCAAAGAATGGGCCTGACTGGACAATGTATTAGCCAGGTTTGGATCGGTTGATCCAGTATCTCACCAAGTTGTTATTTATGGCTACTAGTTGGTTGTGGCGTAAATGCATTTAGGGCCAGTGGGTCACCACCAGATGGCGCTGTGGAGTTATTTAATCATATATTTGCAATGGTCTCAAGTAGGAATGAATGCCTTGTACGTTGTAGTCATATCCCTTTGTCTTTTTAACATCTTAATCTAACTGCTGAAATGTCTCTCCGGCATACCTTAGTGTCTACAGGAGTGATTCATCACTAAATTAAATAAATCAGCCATGTTCATGATCTAAAACATGCAGGAAATGTGCTAGAAGCAGACTGCAGTGGCAGGTGTGTAAGCTCCATTTTTTTTCCCAGTCCACAGGTGAACCACTCTGAAGTTGCAAGTGCAATATTCTGGCCACAGGGATCGGTGGGGGTCTGAGTGACATTTCATTATCCCTGTAAAGGTTTTAAAAAAATATGAAAATATTGCATACTATCCCATTAACTTGTCTTTAAAATGTTATCAGGTAGTTTGGATTTGTTTTATAGTAGAACTAATTATTGTGTCTTATTGTTGTGTCTACATACTGAATGAATGAGGATGTGTCCAACAGTCTGCCTGTCGTGCCACTGGCTGACGCAGCCAACCATCTGATCCAGGAACTGCTCGTGGTGCTCCAGGATCTCCGGGATCTGGTAGAACATCTCATCCACCAGCAGAGGGTCAACTATGGAGCCACCATCTGGCTGTTTCAGAGGACGCATGTAGCCCTGAAAAGAACAAAACTACGTCTTAATGACTAAAGCTGCAGGAGGTGATGAACTTGGAAACACTAATACAAAATTTCCATGTATTTTACTATTGTCTAAATCACTTCAAAGACAACACATAATAAATTTGCTGATGATTTGGTGTGCATCTTCTTTCAGATGATCCCAGATCTGAATCGAGGGCTGACTTGATGAGTCTGAACTGCATTTTCAGATTATTTGTAGTTAAAGAGTACTAACAAATAGTTTCTGCATCTTGCTTCGGCCCTCCCCCCCCCTCCCCCTGCGCAGCGGCCGCAAACTCACTCATGCACCTGCTCAGAGTTCCTGCTGCTCTAAATGTTACACCACTCCAGGACAACTTGGTGTAGAAAAACCGAGTTTTATTGGGGACCTCAGAACCATGACATCGTCATACAGATCCAAGCACGTTAGAGACTTTTTTCTTCCTTTTTTTCCCCATTCCTTTCTGAACTGTAACTGCCCTCTACTGGTGAAAATGTGTAACAGCTTAAACAGAAACAAACGTAGCTGACTTACTTTTCAACTCTCAGCAGGTTTATGCAATGTTTCAGACATTTTATCTGTACACTTTACCAAGTGCTACATTCCTTCCCTGCTAAATAAATGTTGTCTCAACATTGACAAAACATGACAATACTGAACAAGAATAAACAAATGTCCTATTTTTTTCAGTGACAATATCAAGATGGTATGAATTAGGGTAGGGTTTAGCAGTGGTTTAAGATCACTTTCACACTGAACTATTGAACCACAAGTGACTGAATCACATGTTACTCATTTACCAGATAAGCATAGGCTTATAACAATGCTGAGTTTTTTTTCTAAATAGTCCATGTTGAAATATTTCCCTCTTAGACACATTACTATCACTTCATCACACACTCTGGAGTCTATCAACTTAGATAGCAATATCATTGTACAGTTAACCTTGTCAACTATCACATAGTCCCATTTATCCTGCTACCATCCCAAAAGCATCAGACACTTGTGTCGCCATACTGGTAAAACCATGAAAGTACTCATACATTTGTGCCCCCCCCCCCCCCCCCCCAAAAAAAAAAAAAAAAAAAAAAAAAACAAGTTTAAATTTGGGAATGTACTTCACAGTTCATCAATAACTAACTGGCACATATGCTGGATTGTAAAACCTATGTAGAGCTGTCCAAGGTACTCCAAACTGTTCACAGAATGGAGAGGCGGTTACACTGGCATACAATGGGTTAACACTATGACCAATTACTCTCTGAACTGGTTGCCCAAACGCATCATAGGTCAGTATTTTCCGGGGGCATCTCTCTCTTTGAGACTTTCTCAGCTGTGGTTCTGACAGTTCTGAGTTTATCTCACTGGGCTTATCTGGAGAAGCAGCAGTTTTTGATGATGACAAGATGTCGTGTTCGGTGTTATCCTGCCCATTCCCCATGCCTGGTTGGAACTCTTCAGCATCCACTCTGAGCTCCAAATTCATTTGCTGAGAGTCCTGGGCAATTTCCGCAGCAGGGGCTGACACCATCAAATCCTCTTGAGGCTGGCAGCGGTGGTGCCTCGCTCCCTGAGACCAATACAGTTCCTCATCATCTGAACTCTCTGTATAGTAGGGCTGCAACAAACGATTATTTGGATAATCGATTAATCGGATGGGGTCTCGACACGATTAATCGATTAATCGGATTACATAGGGAAATTTTTAAAAACTGCTAGGGAAACGTTATTTCTCTCCTTCCTTCACTTTATTAAACACAACATTATTAGAAAACAGTTCAATAGCAGAAAAACAACATGCCATCACCTAAATTGTCTTATAAGGTGTATAGTCAGAGACCCTAAGCTACACCTATCTGTGACCTAAAATGCTTGGTCCAAGTTAAACAGCTTAAAGAGCAAGTCAACCCCTACCAGAGTCTAACTCCACTCCCACTTCATGTTTGAAAAATGCAACACATGCTGTTGCCTGGCAGACCGAGCCTGCTGGCGTTTGAGAACTGTTCTCAAATCTTCAATATGCTGTTCAAATGTTTGACTGTACACCAAAACATCATCTAAATATAGAGTACATATTTTGTCCCTCAAGCCTTCTAAACTTTCCTCCATACTACGTTGGAATGCTGAGCATTGGTAAGCCCAAATGGAATTCTATTCCATTCATACAGCCCCCAAGGTGTTGTAAAGGCTGTGTATTTTTTGAATCCTCATTGATTTCCCCTTGATGGTACACTTTACCTTGGTCGAGCACACTGAACCACATATTGCTGCCAAGTCCATCAATTATCTCCTGTATTCGCGGTATAGGGTGCCTGTCAGGAATGGTCTTGTTATTGAGACCCCCTACAATCGATACACAGTCTCAGGCTTCCATCCCGTTTCCTCACACACACTACTGGTGAAGCGTAAGATGAGGTTGATTTGCGAATAGTCTTTCTTGAACAAGTCCCGAATGTGATTTTTGACCATCATAGAGAGCACGAGGGACCGCGTTGTAGGATTTGGCCACAGGAATCTGATCAGTCAGTTTAATATCCATTTTCAAATTTTTTATGTGGCCAATTTCCTCTTTGTGTTTAGCAAATGCCCCTGACTCCGCCTTCAACATTTCCATGACAGCTGCCTGCTGTTCTGTGTTAAGGCGGCTCAAACTGACAGGTGGGTTCCAAGGCTCTTCAGGTAAGCTAGGTGAGTTGTCTTTTTCTCCAACTGAACCTAGCTGAGCTTTTTTTAGATTCATGGGAAAGGTGTGTGTTACTCTCTCTATGTTAACTATAAGGGTTTTAGCTGGCAAAACAATGTCATGTTTGGTAACATTAGTAACATAGATCTTAGCTTTTCGGGTCTTGCCTGATACAAGCAGCAACTGGCTGTTAAATTTCAGGCCCTCATCTAATGACAGGTTTCCAACTGGCTCAAAAAGCATTTCACTTTGTACTTTTGAGTGTTTTAATGGAACAACTAATGCCATGCATCTGTCCACTGGGTACGACAATAGCTGTCCATCCTGATCTAATCGGGTAGGTAACTGTCTCACTACTTGAGGTGTGGATAAGGTTCAAAAGTGCTCCTGCTTTGCCTGATCCTACTCTTAGTGAATTTCTGAGTAAAGACACACTTTCACTGAACTGAGTAGTGTCCCTTTTTATCAGTTCCTCAATAGCATTAAAACCTATTATTGGTTTCTGCATCACATCACGACTTATTAGAATTGGAACCAGAACTTCAACCTGAGCAGAAGTTTTCCCTTTTGGGTCACAAAGGCTAAGGCTAACTTCTACCCAACCCTGGAAAGGAACTTCTGATCTATTCACAGCTCTCAGGTCTAAAAGCTCATTCCCACTTAGAAGATCACTGATTGGGTGGACTTCTAAATCAGATAAGTTATCTGACTTCCAGTGTGCACTCATGATTGAAACTTGGGCCCCCGTGTCCCACAGGGCCTGTGTTTTACAGTTGTTCATTTTACACCATACTAGACACTTTTTACCCACTAGCTGCGCTACTTTTCTTTTTTTGGTACTCAGATTAAAACATGTTTTGTGGTTGGTTCCTAATTTTGGGATTTCCTGAGCTTGTTGGTGATGCCTGGAGTAACCTTTGGGCTTTGGGAATGTTGTCACATTGGGACATTGGTGCTGAAGCTGTGGCTTGTCCCGCGGTCACAGCCCCTTCCAGTTTCCCTGCTTCTGGGCTCCCCTTACTTTACATCCTTTTGCCCAGTGAGAGTTACTGCCACACGTAAAGCAATGATCGCAGTCCCTGTTTTCTTGTTGACATGCAGTGCACCGCCTTTTTGGTCTCTGGGCTGACTTTCTGTATGTCTTAGTTTGCCCATCAGAGTCACTCGACCTATCCTGTTGAACAGTTTGTACAAGTGAAGCTACCTGTCCTGTAAGTTCCCTCATTGCTAAATGACTTTCTTCAATTTTTGCAAATAAGGAGTTGTCTTTGACTGGTTTAGCTGGCTTTGTGTCGGGTTGGCTTGTACAAGGATCAGAATGTGCAACATTCTTCTCAACTACATTTAGCCCTGTTCTAAATGAAGACCTGTGGGCTTTTGCCTTTAAAACCCTTTCGCTTTCATTGTACTGTGCTGTTTGCATTTTCATTAACAAGAGTTCATCACTGCTGTTTTCATCCTGTAAATCAATCTCATTTCTGCTCTGACATTATCATTTAGTAGTCCGTCCTAATAGACTGAAAACATTGACTTTGAACAAGTTCTTTGTTGTACCTTAGGCTGGACTGGGCAAGCTCAGATGCAAAAAGGATTTTTTGACGTAAGTCCAGGACTCTAATCAGGAACTCAAGTGGTGTTTCATTCGCCCCCTGGCTAGCCTTGGTTAACTGCTGGTACAGTACTGTTGCATCCGTTTCTGCATAATGGGCTTTTAGAACTTGTCTCAAACTGGTCAGTGTGAGGTTTTCCTTCCCCTCTAAGTAGCTCCTTAGCTTTAACCCAGGACTGATGGCACGCACTACAGCCTCCACGATCTCAGCTTCAGAGTAGCCCTTCTTCAATCCGCTTTCCATCTGGTGCTCCAAGCTGCTAAAGCTCAGTGTGTCTTTAGCTGTTGACTCACCCACATGGCCACTTATCCTGAAGTCTTTTCTGAATCCCACTGATGAAACGTTGCAGCCACTGTTGCCCATGGAGTCTGTCCCTCTGCGCTGCATTTCGCTGTCTCGCGAGGTCATCATGGCCGCCTGCTGCTCCGCTGATGTCCCTTGAGCTGGCTGATGCTCCAGCGTTGTTATCAGACCTGGCCGCTGCTCCAACAGCGCCCCCTCTGCTGCGAGTCGCTCGTACACAGCCTCCGCCGTCATTCCCGCTCCGTCTGAAGATAACGACTGGGCCACCGCTCCCGCGCTGATAGCCGCTGACCGCGCCTCCACCAGCGAAACCAGCAAATCATTTAGCTCCAGAAGCACCGACATGCCTTCATCCTCCCGCTGCAATAAATCTTCTCGTTCACAGAATTGAATAATAA